CATGACATTTGCTTAAAGGGAAACTAAAGTACCAGCCAACAAAGCTGTTTTCCTGGCATTATAGCTCCTTTTAATGCTTACTGCCCCCTTTGTGGTGCAGAAGTTGTTAAAAACCCCTTCTGTCACTTACCTGAGTCCAATGCCAATGTCTCTCGGTGCTGGCTTGGGTCTGGCCTCTCTTCTCCCCTGCCGACGTGAGCCTGTGGTGACCTAATGTGTATGCATGACAATGACCACGCTCGCATAAGGATTTCCCCATAGAAAAACATTATTCAGTGCTTTCCTATGGGGATTCCGGTGACACTGGAAGTTCTCATACATAGCGTGAGGACGTCCAGTGTCAGTTAGGTGACCAAAAGTTGCCTAATGATGCAGAAGTCCCTTCAGTAGACAGCCACTAGAGGAGGAGTTAACCCATAAAGGTAATTATTGCAGTTTATAAAAACAATAATGAAATTTTCAGGGTTAAGGGTGCTGGGACATTGCATCCAGACCACTTCAATGAGCTTAAGTGGTCTGGGTGCTATTGCCTATAGTGTCCCCTTAAAATTTTGTGATTGGCACTTAGTAAAGTTTTAAGATGTCAGATAGGAAATTCTATTTTTCTCAAAATTTGGGTTGTGATTTGTAGGAAACGTTTTTTTTAAAAAAACTGCCAATGCACAACTATGCAACCAAATCTGTTGCCAATTTATTGAACTCTACTTTTACTTTTCATTTACACATGTAAGGCTGCCTATTGGTATAATCAGCTTGTTTTCAGTATTCTTTGTGAGAAGTAATATCAGGACAATTGCTTTGCAATGACCGATAAGCCACTGATTGCCCGAGAGCTCAATGCAAGTGCTATGAAATCCTTTTGTTTGTCAGCTTGTACTTGCAGTTGTTTTTAAAAACACAGAGTCCTACAAAAAAAAAGCCCAAATTTCTAGTAGGAACTCAGAGAACAAAGACACTTCCTGCTGATTCAGCAAATCCTTGTTGATTTCTAGGTATGCAAAGGAAAAAGCTCTCCATCATTTCACCAGCTCTCGTCTAATATGTTCACGTGATTTGGGATCACAGTGACAGCTGGCATGCTAACATATTAATAAATAACTTGAACTGATCATTCATGAATTGAAAAGTAACATTCAATTACCCAAAGGGAATTTAAAGGTAGTTTCACATTTGTGATAATTTACTCATTTGAATGTGTCTCAAATGGCCCAGCTATTTGTGAATTGTAATATGCATCTATGTACTTAGAGATAGCACATGCAAAAAAAAAAATAGAAACTAAAAAAATGCTTCTAAATAGTGAAAATGTGTCTGGTGGCAAGCACCTTATCATATGCTAGTCCCAGTGTTAATTTTGTCGACTAACAATTTTAGTCAAATTTTAGTCGACTAAAACTAGACTAAAACTAAATCAATCCAGATGACTAAAATACATCTAAAACTAATTTGAAATTTGCCACCAAAGTTAATATTGCACTGAGAGGCTGTGGTAGGGCAAAAGAGACTGAACATGGCTTGGGAGAGACATCTAGAGGGGCTGGGAGGACACAGAGAGACACAGAGGGGCTGGGGAATGGGCAAAAGAGACAGATAGAGGCTGAATCTAACAACCACATTCATTATAGATTGTAATGTGTCATTCTAAGCCTGAGTGAGACCCGCATGGACAAGTTTTTAGTAACGAGTCAGCTGTCTTGCTATTTAGGTCCCCCCTTTTTTTAAAAACCTTAACTTTAAAAAAAAACCTTACCTTTATTCCAGCGTATTTACATGGATTAACAAGGGCTGTAACATAGAAACATAGAATGTGACGGCAGATAAGAACCATTCGGCCCATCTAGTCTGCCCAATTTTCTAAATACTTTCATTAGTCCCTGGACTTATCTTATAGTTAGGATAGCCTTATGCCTATTCCACGCATGCTTAAACTCCTTTACTGTGTTAACCTCTACCACTTCAGCTGGAAGGCTATTCCATGCATCCACTACCCTCTCAGTAAAGTAATACTTCCTGATATTATTTTTAAACCTTTGTCCCTCTAATTTAAGACTATGTCCTCTTGTTGTGGTAGTTTTTCTTCTTTTAAATATAGTCTCCTCCTTTACTGTGTTGATTCCCTTTATATATTTAAATGTTTCTATCATATCCCCCCTGTCTCGTCTTTCCTCCAAGCTATACATGTTAAGATCCTTTAACCTTTCCTGGTAAGTTTTATCCCGCAATCCATGAACCAGTTTAGTAGCCCTTCTCTGAACCCTCTCTAAGGTATCAATATCCTTCTGAAGATACGGTCTCCAGTACTGTGTACAATACTCCAAGTGAGGTCTCACCAGTGGTCTGTACAATGGCATGAGCACTTCCCTCTTTCTACTGCTAATACCTCTCCCTATACAACCAAGCATTCTGCTAGCATTTCCTGCTGCTCTATTACATTGTCTGCCTACCTTTAAGTCATCAGAAATAAGGGTGTAAGGGTGCTCATTCAACACTCCTGTAAACTGTTCAAAAAACACTAAATGAGATGAAGTAGTTATGGTGCCCAAAGTGTTACTTTAATAAGGCATTGCAAGCTCATGTTATAACACAGACTGTCCAGTGTGTAAAAAAATTAATACTTTATTAGACATTGATTTAAAAGTCATGAGCACGGTTGTGTCTCGGGTATTGCCTCCTCAATCCCAGGTTATGAAACATTTATTGGACCTGGTTCAAAGTTCTCCTCCTCACCTACAAAGCTTTCCATGTCTGTGACCCGGCTTATATATTCTCCCTTGTTAGAAAATATATTCACATACACCCTCTATCAAGGAAGTACTGACATTAATATTAGAAAACAAAGCATACGAACTATCACATAGAAATAACACACACATTTTTGCACAATTAAAATACCACTGGGATCAATGGGAAACCGATGTCAAAAAAACACATAACCTGTAATAACTTGTAATGTAGTGTTATTCAACTCAAGTGCCTTGTACTTTAACGTATTTACTGTTATAATGGATGGATATCCCCTCCCCATTTCCCAGTTTTCACCCTTCCTTTCCCTTCCCCAATATATTGTTCTTTATTATTTATAAATTCTGCAAAAAATTTTCAATAAAAATTATTTGAAAAGAAAATATATTCAAGCACGGTCTCTTCACTTTCCCCAATGACAGATTCACATCCAGTGAGATAGCTCAGTGGGCTAATGCATCATCAGCAGAATCTGTTTAATCATTGGGTTGCATGTTTGAATCCTGGCAGGGTTGACCAAAGAAGATAAAATGTGTACCACTACATTGGGTAATAGTAACAACCCCTGGATTTTGGGCTAAGGTAACATCCCCAGGATGTACTTGAAAAATTAGGGTAATCTCAGTGTGCCTTTCCTGATTAAACACTTAGTGAAAATTGTTTTAGTAGACACTGGGCAAAGTTAGCGTTAATATTTGTTTGTGTGTGAAAAATGCAAAAAACTAATTTGAAAGCCAATTTTGACCAGTGTTTGTGTCTAAGTGGATACTAAAAAAGACTGGACATACCCCATTTGCAATACTGTTGTCTACTATTGCAAATGGTATGTCATCATGGGGCTAATTCTCATTCCTGGGCTACCATACGGTCTCAAAGGCAACGTAACCAATCTGGCGAATTTCAATGTGAAAAAACTGAAAAATAAATGTAACGTGCTATATTTGACCCCATAACTTTTCAAAACAGCACAAAACCTGTACATAGGGGGTACTGTTTTACATGTGAGACATTTAAAGTGATTTATGCACACACAAAAATTCAATAGAGTACACTTACTTTAATAACATATTTGAAGTGACTCTCAGTTGCAAAATAGTAATACATAGAAGAGAATAAAATACAAAAACCATATATAGTGAAATATTGTTTTAGTAAAACAAAACTTAAAAAGTTATGTGATTAAAGTAAGTGTACTCTATTGAATTTTTTTGTGTGCATAAATCACTTTAAATTTTTTATTTTTTTGCATCAAGCACTTTGAATATGTATGCACATTGCACTTTTTAAAGAGTGGAATGAGGTTTTTGCACTATTTTCACTTTATTGATGTAAATTATTTTAGCGCACTTATTTTTTTTCGTTGTTTGTATTCTATTTTGTGTTTCATGAGCTAATACACATATAGGTGCTGCTTTCTTTGTGTAATAAGGTCACTATTATTACAATTTAAGCGCCTTTTTTACTTGTTTATTGATATTCTACATGTGAGATATGGCTGAATACAAATATGTGTATTTTATTCAGGGGTCAAGTCCTGGGGAAAAAGGTGTGGGAACTCACCCAAGATTCCCGACTCCACCCCCTTAAAAAAAAATAAAAAAATAAAAAATTACACTCCGATGCATATAGTGCAGTGCAGGGTGTGTATAATGAATGTAGTGTGTTTGTAGTGAATGCAGAGTATGAATAATAAATGTAGTGTGTTTGTAGTGAGTGCAGTGTGAATAATAATTGTAGTGTATTTGTAGTGAGTGTGAATAATAATTGTAGTGTATTTGTAGTGAGTGCAGAGTGTGTATAATGAATGTAGTGTATTTGTAGTGAGTGCAGTGTGTATAATAAATGTAGTGTATTTGTAGTGAGTGCAGTGTGTATAATAAATGTAGTGTGTTTGTAGTGAGTGCAGTGTGTATAGTGAATGCAGTGTGTATAGTGAATGTAGTGTTTTGTAGTGAGTGCAGTGTGTATAATGAATGCAGAGTGTGTATAGTGAATGTAGTGTGTTTGTAGTAAGTGCAGAGTGTGTATAATGAATGTAGTGTGTTTGTAGTAAGTGCAAATTGTGTATAATGAATTTAGTGTGTTTGTAGTGAGTGCAGAGTGTGTACAATGAATGCAGTGTATGCAGAGTGTGTATAGTGAATGTAGTGTGTAGTGAGTGCAGAATGTGTATAATGAATGCAGAGTGTGTATAGTGAATGCAGAGGGTGTATAGTGAATGTAGTGTGTTTGTAGTGAGTGTATAGTGAATGTAGAGTGTTTGTAGTGAGTGAAGAGTGTGTATAATGAATGCATGTGCGCTGGATGATGTGTGTGAGTGCGCTGGATGACGTGTGTGTGAGTGCAGGATGATGTGTGTGAGTGCTGGATGATGTGTGTGTGTGTGAGTGCTGGATGATGGGTGTGTGTGAGTGCAGGATGATGTGTGTGTGTGAGTGCAGGATGATGTGTGTGTGAGTGCTGGATGATGGGTGTGTGTGTGCTGGATGATGGGTGTGTGTGTGCTGGATGATGGGTGTGTGTGTGCTGGATGATGGGTGTGTGTGTGCTGGATGATGGGTGTGTGAGTGCTGGATGATGGGTGTGTGTGTGCTGGATGATGGGTGTGTGAGTGCTGGATGATGGGTGTGTGAGTGCTGGATGATGGGTGTGTGTGTGCTGGATGATGGGTGTGTGAGTGCTGGATGATGGGTGTGTGTGTGCTGGATGATGGGTGTGTGTGAGTGCTGGATGATGGGTGTGGAGGGGGGGAAGCATTTTTTTCTTACTTTGTGTTTATTTTATTCCCCCCTCCCTGCTTCTTACCTTGTCAGGGAGGGGGGAGATCGCCTGGTGGTCCGGTGGTATGCTGGAGGGAGGCAGCCGCTGCACAGAGGGGCCATCACACGCTGTGTTCCCTCTCCAGCTTTAACTCTCGCGAGACTCGCCTGTGCGGAGCGTTGCCATGGTAACAGCCGCGGGTCTCGCGAGAGTTATAGCTGGAGAGGGAACACAGCGTGTGATGGCTCCTCTGTGCAGGTAGCAGGGCCGGTCCTGCAGGACAGGTAACGGGAACGGCGTTCCTGCTATGGAAAAAGTGCAGGAACGCCGTTCCCATGCGTTCCTGCAGGACTCGAGCCCTGATTTTATTGCAGTGAAACCAAACAGTATCATGACATTCACAGTTAAAATGTCATGCAGAACTAAAAAAATAACATTCCTTAATTTCTCCACTTTTTAAAATATTTTATTCATATTAAATTATGTTTCATAGCTAAATATTTGATGTTAAATGAAAGCCCTGCTTTCCCTGAATAAAATTATATAGAATAAGTGTGGGTGCACTTAATATAAAAGAGGTGAATTACTGTTGAACAGACATACAGTAAAATTCCAGGTTTTGTTTAAGTTTTATTTTGATCAAAACGTGTACATTTGGCTCAGTCCTTAAGGGGTTAAATTCTCCCTATTTAGTTGAGCCTTACCCCTTCTAGTTTGTCAGTTCATTCATTTTAATGTTGTTGATCTGGTCCTTTTGTCCTGAGTTCCTGTGCTAGCAGCCTGCCTATCCTGAGTTCCTGAGCTGGCTATCCTGAGTTCCTGAGCTGTATCCAGAGGACTTTCCTGAGTTCCCTGCATCCAGAGGCCTTGCCTGAGTCCCCTTTATCTAGAGGCCTTTACTGCGTTCCCTTTATCCAGTGGCCTTTCCTGCATTCCCTATATCCAGTGGCCTTTCCTGTGGTCCCTGTATCCAGTGGCATTTCCTGCGTTCCCTATATCCAGTGGCCTTTTCTGCGTTCCCTGTATCCAGAGGCCTTTCCTGTGGTCCCTGTATCCAGTGGCCTTTCCTGCGTTCCCTATATCCAGTGACCTTTTCTGCTTTCCCTGTATCCAGAGGCCTTTCCTGCGTTCCCTGTATCCAGAGGCCTTTCCTGTATTCCCTGCATCCAGAGGCCTTTCCAGCGTTCCCTGCATCCAGAGGACTTCCCTGCGTTCCCCATATCCAGAGACATTTCCTGCATCCAGTGACCTTTCCTGCGTTCCCTTTGTCCAGGGGCCTTTCCTGCATTCCCTGTATCCAGAGGCCTTTCCAGCATTCCCTGCATCCAGAGGCCTTTCCTGCGTTCCCTATATCCAGTGGCCTTTCCTGCATTCCCTGTATCCAGAGGCCTTTCATGTATTCCCTGCATCCAGAGGCATTTCCAGCTTTCCCTGCATCCAGAGGCCTTCCCTGCATTCTCCTTATCGAGAGGCCTTTCCTGCATTTCCTGCATCCAGTGGCCTTTCCTGCGTTCCCTGTATCCAAAGGCCTTTTCTGCGTTCCCTGTATCTAGAGGCCTTGCCTGAGTTCCCTGTATCCAGCGGCCTTTCCAGCATTCCCTGCATACAGAGGCCTTTCCAGCGTTCTCTGCATTCAGAGACCTTTCGTGCGTTCCCTGTATCTAGAGGCCTTGCCTGAGTTCCCTGTATCCAGAGCCCTTTCATGAGTTCCCTGTATCCAGAGGCCTTTCCTGTGTTCCCTGTATCTAGAGTCCTTGCCAGAGTTCCTTGTATCCAGAGGCCTTTCCTGTGTTCCCTGTATCCAGTGGCCCTGCCTGAGTTCCCAGTATCCAGAGGCCTTTCCTGTGTTCTCTGTATCCAGAGGCCTTGCCTGAGTTCCCTGTATCCAGAGGCCTTTCCTAAATTCCCTGTATCCAGAGGCCTTTCCTGTGTTCCCTGTATTTAGAGGCCTTGCCAGAGTTTCTTGTATCCAGAGGCCTTGCCTGAGTACCCTGTATCCGGAGGCCTTGTCTGAGTTCCCCGTATCTAGAGGCTATGCCTGTGTTCCCTGTATCCGGAGGCCTTGCCTGAGTTCCCTGTATCCGGAGGCCTTTCCTGTATTCCCTGTATCTAGAGGCCATTCCTGAGTTCCCTGTATCCTGAGGCCTTTCCTGTGTTCCCTGTATCAGAAGGCCTTTCCTGTGTTCCCTGTATCTAGAGGCCATTCCTGAGTTCCCTGTATCCAGAGGCCTTGTCTGAGTTCCCTGTATCCAGCGGCCTTGCCTGAGTTCCCTGTATCCAGATGCCTTTCTTGAGTTCCCTTTATTCAGAGTCCTTTCCTGAGTTCCCTGTATCCAGAGGCCTTGCCTGAGTTCCCTATATTCAGAGGCCTTGCCAGAATTCCTTGTATCCAGAGGCCTTTCCTGTGTTCCCTGTATCCAGTGGCCCTGCCTGAGTTCCCAGTATCCAGAGGCCTTTCCTGTGTTCTCTGTATCCAGAGGCCTTGCCTGAGTTCCTTGTATCCAGAGGCCTTGCCTGAGTACCCTGTATCCGGAGGCCTTGTCTGAGTTCCCCGTATCTAGAGGCTTTGCCTGTGTTTCCTGTATCCAGAGGCCTTGCCTGAGTTCCCTGTATCCGGAGGCCTTTCTTGTGTTCCCTGTATCCAGAGGCCTTTCCTGAGTTCCCTGTATCCAGAGGCCTTTCCTGTGTTCCCTGTATCTAGAGGCCTTGCCAGAGTTCCTTGTATCCAGAGGCCTTGCCTGAGTACCCTGTATCCGGAGGCCTTGTCTGAGTTCCCAGTATCTAGAGGCTTTGCCTGTGTTCCCTGTATCCGGAGGCCTTTCCTGAGTTCCCTGTATCTAGAGGCCATTCCTGAGTTCCCTGTATCCTGAGGCCTTTCCTGTGTTCCCTGTATCAGAAGGCCTTTCCTGTGTTCCCTGTATCTAGAGGCCATTCCTGAGTTCCCTGTATCCAGAGACCTTGCCTGAGTTCTCTGTATCCAAAGGCCTTGCCTGAGTTCCCTGTATCCAGATGCCTTTCTTGAGTTCCCTTTATTCAGAGTCCTTTCCTGAGTTCCCTGTATCCAGAGGCCTTGCCTGAGTTCCCTGTATTCAGAGGCCTTGCCAGAGTTCCTTGTATCCAGAGGCCTTTCCTGTGTTCCCTGTATCCAGTGGCCCTGCCTGAGTTCCCAGTATCCAGAGGCCTTTCCTGTGTTCTCTGTATCCAGAGGCCTTGCCTGAGTTCCCTGTATCTAGAGGCCTTGCCAGAGTTCCTTGTATCCAGAGGCCTTGCCTGAGTACCCTGTATCCGGAGGCCTTGTCTGAGTTCCCCGTATCTAGAGGCTTTGCCTGTGTTCCCTGTATCCAGAAGCCTTGCCTGAGTTCCCTGTATCCGGAAGCCTTTCCTGTGTTCCCTATATCCAGAGGCCTTTCCTGAGTTCCCTGTATCCGGAGGCCTTTCCTGTGTTCCCTGTATCCAGAGGCCTTTCCTGAGTTCCCTGTATCCAGAGGCCTTTCCTGTGTTCCCTGTATCTAGAGGCCTTGCCAGAGTTCCTTGTATCCAGAGGCCTTGCCTGAGTACCCTGTATCCGGAGGCCTTGTCTGAGTTTCCCGTATCTAGAGGCTTTGCCTGTGTTCCCTGTATCCGGAGGCCTTTCCTGTGTTCCCTGTATCTAGAGGCCTTTCCTGAGTTCCCTGTATCCTGAGGCCTTTCCTGTGTTCCCTGTATCAGAAGGCCTTTCCTGTGTTCCCTGCATCTAGAGGCCATTCCTGAGTTCCCTGTATCCAGAGGCCTCTTGCCTGAGTTCCCTGTATCCAGATGCCTTTCTTGAGTTCCCTTTATTCAGAGGCCTTTCCTGTGTTCCCTGTATCCAGAGGCCTTTCCTGAGTTCCCTGTATCCAGAGGCCTCTTGCCTGAGTTCCCTGTATCCAGATGCCTTTCTTGAGTTCCCTTTATTCAGAGGCCTTTCCTGTGTTCCCTGTATCCAGAGGCCTTTCCTGAGTTCCCTGTATCCAGAGGCCTTTCCTGTGTTCCCTGTATCTAGAGGCCTTGCCAGAGTTCCTTGTATCCAGAGGCCTTGCCTGAGTACCCTGTATCCGGAGGCCTTGTCTGAGTTTCCCGTATCTAGAGGCTTTGCCTGTGTTTCCTGTATCCGGAGGTCTTTCCTGTGTTCCCTGTATCTAGAGGCCATTCCTGTGTTCCCTGTATCAGAAGGCCTTTCCTGTGTTCCCTGCATCTAGAGGCCATTCCTGAGTTCCCTGTATCCAGAGGCCTCTTGCCTGAGTTCCCTGTATCCAGATGCCTTTCTTGAGTTCCCTTTATTCAGAGGCCTTTCCTGAGTTCCCTGTATCCAGAGGCCTCTTGCCTGAGTTCCCTGTATCCAGATGCCTTTCTTGAGTTCCCTTTATTCAGAGTCCTTTCCTGAGTTCCCTTTATCCAGAGGCCTTGCCTGAGTTCCCTGTATTCAGAGGCCTTGCCTGAGTTCCCTGTATTCAGAGGCCTTTCCTGAGTTCCCTGTATCTGGAGGCCCTTCTCCTACATTCAGTTAGATGTGTTTGCATTTTATTTAACTGTCTTCATTGAAAATATCAATACACTTATTTTTGCTTTGATTTGTGTGTATATTGGTTTCTTTGCATTCTATGTTCCACCCTATAGAGGTTGCTGCACTGGTTAGCACCCCTTCCTGACCAGACCTGTGACAGTCAGAATTCATTTTTGTCTTAACTATATAAATGATTGTAACTGCATTGTTTTTATCTCTCTCTATGTTCTGACTGGATA